GTTTGTCTTGCCATGAAAGATTCTTTCTAGAACATATGATAAAATTCAATATCCCTGGGGCTGGGGCTGGGGCTCAGTGGTAGCGCACTTGCCTGGCATGTGTGAAGCACTGGGTTTGATTCTCAGTATTGCATATAAATAAAATAAAGAAAGGACTATCCACAATTAAAACAATTTAAAAAAAAATCAATATCCCTTCATAATAAAAGCTCTGAACAAATTAGGTATAGAAGAATCATACCTCAACATATTTAAAGCTATATATGACAAGCACACAGCTGACATATTGAATGTGGAAAAGCTAAAAGCATTTATTCTAAGATTGGGAAAAGACAAGGGTGTCCATTCTCACCATTCTTATTCAATGTTGCACCAGAAAATTTTAGCTAGAGGAGTTAGATAAGAGAAAGTAAAGAAAAAACATAATAGGAAGGTAAGAAGTCAAATTATCCCTATTTTCAAATGATATAATTCTATACATAGTATAATCCAATAACTCCATCAAAAGACTATTAGAGCTGATAGATGAATTTAGTAAAGTTGTATGATACCAATTAACAGGCAAAAATCAATAGTTTTTCCCGGTGCTGTGGCACATGCCTGTAATCCTAGCAGCTTGGGAGGCTGAGGCAGGAGGATCACAAGTTCAAATGTAGCCTCAGCAGTAGCAAGGCTGTAAGCAACTTAGCAAGACCCTGTCTCAAAATAAAAATATAAAAAAGGGCTGGTGATGTGGCTCAGTGGTTAAGTACCCCTGGGTTCAATTCCTGATTAAAAGCAAAAACCAAAACCAATAGTTTCTTATACACCAATAATGAGCTTTCTGAGAAAGATAATAGGACAGCATTTACACTCACAGTAGCTACAAAAAAATCTAGAACTTAATTTAACCAAGGATGTAAAAGACCTCTATAATAAAAATTATAAAACACTGATGAAAGAAATTTGAAAAGACACAAAAAGGGGAAAAATTCCATGTGCATGTATATGAAGCCTTAAAGTTATTAAACGTCCATACTACTCAAAGAAATCTACAGATTCAATCCAATCCCCATTGAAATACCAATGGCATTCTTCACAGAACTAGAAAAAACATCCTAAAATTCAAATGGAAACACAAAAGAATCTTCAGCAAAAAGAACAAAGCTGGAGGTATCACAATTCTTGATTTTAAGACATACCCCATAATCAAAGTAACCAAAACAATGCAGTACTGCCATCAGAAGAGACACTGAGGTCAGTGGAACAGAACAGAGAGATCAGAAATAAACTCACATCAACAGCCAAATAATTATCAACAAACATGCCAAAAAAACAGTGGAGAAAGGGCAGCCTCTTCAAGGACCGGTTCTGGGAATACTGAATATCCACAGGCAGAAGAATGAAACTTGACCCCTTTATCTCTCCTTTTACAAAAATCAACTCAAAATAAAACAAAGACTCAATATAAGACTGAAAATCTCAAACTAGCTGAAGGAAACCTAAGGAAACACTTCAAGATATAGGTGTAGGCAATATTTTTATGAATAAGACCCCAAAACACAGGAAAAGAAGCAATATTGACAAACAGGGAAACATCTGCCAGCAAAGGCAGCCATCAACAGAGTGAAGAGAAAATCTCCAGAAAGGGAGAAAATATTCATCAGCCATCCATCGACAGAGGTCTCATGTCTAGAACCCAAAAACTTCACCACAAAAAACCAAGTCATCCAGTTTAAAAGTGGGCCAATGATCTGAATAAATACTTCTCAAAGGAAGAAATAAAAATGGCCAACAAATATGTGGAGAAAATGCTCAATTTCATTAGCTATCAGGGAACTGCAAATCAAAACTACAATGAGACACCATCTCACCTCATAATAAAAAACAAAAAACCAAATTATCAATAAGGAGGTGGGGAAAAAGGGACTCTCATACACTTTTGGTGGGAATGCAAATTAGTAAAACCACTATGAAGAACACTTCCTGACACAACTAAAACTAGATCTACCATAGGATCCAGCCATGCCACTTCTGAATGTATATTCAAAGAAAATAGAATCTGCATAGCAAAGAGATCCCTGCCCACTCAAGATTACTGAGATATTCAGATACTACTCAGAATAGATAAAGCAGGGAATCAAGTTAGGTGCCCATCAACAGATGAATGGATTTAACAAGGTGGTGCAAATACACAAGGCAGTATTACTCAGCCACAAATAAGAGTGAAATCCGTGATTTGGGGCTGGGGATGTGGCTCAAGCAGTAGCGTGCTCACCTGGCATGCGTGCGGCCCGGGTTCGATCCTCAGCACCACATACAAAACAAAAGATGTTGTGTTCGCTGAAAACTAATATATATATATATATATTTTAAAGTTCTCTCTCTCTCTCTTAAAAAAAAAAGTGAAATCCTGTGATTTGCAGCAAAATGGATGGAACTGGGGGCAAAGGCACCAAAGACAATAACTACACTCTTTCTCTCATGTGGAAGTTAAAAGAAGTCCACCTGAATGTAGACTAGGGATTAACAGGTTAGAAATGCTGTGTGTGTGAAAGGGAGGATATACAGAGAGAGGCTGAATTAGATTGCTACACACTGTACATGTGTAGAAATAGCATACCGAATACCACTAATATGTACAATTAAAACATGTTAATAAAAGTAAAAACATAAAAATCTTTCTAGGTATACCTTGCAACAAGTTCCTGGATTCAATGGTTCTCTTCTCAGAAAAAATATAGTGAAAGTTATAATAGCCCAAAAGTGTCTGGATCAACTGACCTTTGAGAAAAGAAATTGTTTAAGTCCAGATAACCATCAATGGAGGTTATACTATACTGCTTTCATTGGTCAGAAAACACATAACGAAAACCAAACCAAATCGAAAAAATAATAGCTTCGTGTTTTTAAGTCTGAAAAACTGTTAGCACTTGAAAAACTTGAAATATAAATAACAGAACTCTTTTAAGATTTTTAAAGGGAAATTAGAAATTTGGAGAATGCAAAGTACTGTACCATGATTCACTTTTCTTTTTACTGGTATGCCCGTGGTTTCCCTCCCATCCACTATCTGGACTATTTTGAACTCTCATTTAATCATTTAGTTTCTTATTTTGATTACAAAAATAAGTTTTCTGTGTTCTTTCAAGCTGTTTTGGGACAACATTCATTACAGAAAGGTAGGTTGGGCTAGGCCCATCTCTGGGATTTCAGCTTAAGAGTGAGGGGCAGAAGCTTATTCTTTAGGGATACAATGGGGTGTGGGGAGAGGGTAATATTCATGAGGTCAGAATGGGAGGAACTGGAGCCAGGAGATTTGATCCTGTCCCTCCACTGACAAGAGCACACAGAAAGTGACACACACACACACATACACATGAATATTTCTATAATGACAGGCTCTGCGTGTGCTGGGAGGAAAGGTTTGCAAAACGTTAGTGAGCAAGGAGTGCAGGTGGGGCTGGCCTAGTTCTCCTGCCTTTGTTCACAGTCTGGGAGGCTCAGAAGACTCCCCTGAGAAATTGACCTCAGAGCCTGAGGTCAGAGTGGAAATAACTAGGCCCAGGAAGTGGTGAGGGGAGCAGAGGGGCCAGCGCTCCCCAGGCAGAGTGAATTGCTTGTTCAGAGGCTTTTGGCAGGAAGAAGCTGTGTATAGTAGAGGAACTGAAAGCTGACAGAGAGGCAAAGGTGCAGAGCAAGTGAAGCTGGAAGGCAAGATGGTATTCAGAGGTTATTCAGAGTTGAGCAGGGAGGGCCTGTGTGATCCTGTAGGCCATGCCGTTGTTTTGCTCTCCTGACAAAGAGCCACTTCCCGGACCAGGCAAAAGGTTAGGGTGATGATGAGGTGGAAATGTAGAGAGAGAGCCACTTAAGAGATGTAAGGTAGAGCCCAGCTGGCATGCGAGAGGGTCAGCAGCTACCCAGGCTCTGACTGAGTAAAGAAGGGATCCTCGTCCAGGTGACAAGGGCTCTGAGCCACTGTTGTCAGTTTCTTATTTTCAGTGTGAGGAATGGGTACTTGGCTCTCCAGGTTCACAGATGCACACTTTAATTTTATGTCTTTGGAATAGAAAGAGAAGGAGTGAGCAGGAGGTAGAAGAGGCAGCCAGCAGGAGGAGAGGCCCGCAGGAGGGGTGAGAGGTGGAGGGGAATGTAGGGGAGCACCCATACAGTCAGGCATATTACTGTACTCCAGTAAGTGGGCAATAGCATTATGTGTGAAAAAGATGTGTATCCATTAATTAAAATATTTTATTGCTAAAAACTGTTTAAGATCATCTGAGCTATTGGGAAAATGGTGCTAATAGATTTCCTCCATGCAGGGTTGCCACACATCTTCAAATTCCACAAAATACAGCATTAAAGTGAAGTGCAATGAAATATGCTTGTATCCCCCTCCCCCCGCCAAAAAGAAAAAAAAAAAAAGAAAAGAAAAGGAAACCCAAACAAGAAACAAAAATAAAACCTAAAGGGAGTCAGGAAATCAGAGAAGACGCTGGCTCAGAAGATACCAAGGGCCATCATAGGAGGAAAGAGAAGCTGGGAAACACTGAAATGGAGGAATCTTGGGATATGAACGCTCTAAAGAATGCCAGTCTAGTCAAACTCTCTCAATATGCCACTGAGAAAATCACTTTCAGTGTTTTATTTTATTATAAATAAAATCCTTATACTTGTAAACATTTTGGAAGACTTACAAGGGCAAAGCCAATTAAAATCACCCGTAGTTCTTTCCACCTGGAGACATCCACGGCTAAGCCCAAGCCTTTCTTCCTCCCTTTTTCTTTGCATTTTTAACACTGTCCGAGTTGTGACATATATACACCTTGACGTACTTTAAAAAACACTAAGAAAACAGTTGTAAAGCATCCCAAGTTCTGTTTCAAACGGTTTAATGAGCTAAAAAGATGCTAAGACCAGGTGATTGCGAAATCTAGCGTAGGAGCGACAGCGCTGGGACTCCTCCCACCCCATCAGGGCTCTGGGAAGCTGGAATAGCCTAGAGCCAGAGGGACCTCCGGCCGAAAAGGAGAGCACCAGCCGCCCGGAGTGAGTTTGTTGCCCAAAGCGAAGCGAGCTGAGCCTGCAGGTGGCGAGGCGTGCASAGGAGCGCAGAGGGCTTTGCCCCTTGTTGCGCGGAGCCCGCGAGGTTCCTACGCCCTGCGACATGGGAYGCGCGTGGTTCCTGCTGCTGTGGGTGCTTTCCCAGCTTTCGGGAAATTATGAGGGTGAGTGGAACCAGGRCGAGGGGAAGCTCGCCCTAGAGCACAGAGAAAAGGGGTTGCACTGGGGTGAGGGAGACCCACGGTGGGGGCAAAGGAGTGAGGCTTGGTCTCGGGATCCCGGGCTCAGGGAGCCTGCAGAGAACCTGCTCTGGCCTCGCAATCACCACTCGGGCGTCCCAGTCTCCTTTCCTGAGGCTGTTTCCCGGCCCCTCCCCGCGCTTCTCATTATGCTGTCTGCTCCGTAGGCCACTCGCTGTACACTTCCAAGCTTCACTCATTCTCAGTCCGGCAAAAGAATTTCACCTTCCTCTGGCTCCAGACCTCGTCCTTTCCCAGCAACACCTCCACACGCGCGGAGGGCGTGGCGTGGCTGGGGGAGCTGCAGACGCACAGCTGGAGCAACGCCGCGGACACTATTCGTTTTGTGAAGCCCTGGGCTCGCGGCACATTCAGCAGCCAGCAGTGGGACAAAATGCAGCACCTGTATCTGGGCTTCCGAAGCAGTTTCACAAAAGACATTCGGAAGTTCGCTCAAATGCTGCGCTTCAAGTGTGAGTTGAGGGATGGGATCCTGGGCGGGCACTTGAGGCTTGAGAATGAGCACAAAAAGAAGAGAGACTCTGCTCCCACCAGATGAGATTCTGTTTTTGCACCTCTTCGAATTTCCACTTCTGCCTGGAGATGCTCCTGTTTCTTCTGAAAACAACACCTTGTTCCTGCCTACTCCTGACCACCGACTCTTATTTCCCTCCACCGTGGGTTCTCAATATAACTCTCAGAACAGTTTCTTCTCCTTTGTCCCCTTCTTTTAAACCCTTCTTTGATTTCTAAACGTTTCTCTCCACAGATCCCATGGAGCTGCAGCTGTCTGGTGGCTGTGAGGTGCACCCTGGGAACGTCTCAGAACACTTTATCCTTGTAGCATATCAAGGAGAACATATCCTGAGTTTCCAGGGAACTGCTTGGGAGCCTGTCCCACAGGCCCCCCAGTGGGTTGATTTGGTCATCAAAGTGCTCAACCTTGACCAAGGGACAAGGAAAACAGTGCAGTGGCTCTTCAGTGACATCTGTCCAGAATATGTCAATGGCGTCCTAGAGACAGGGAAGTCAGAACTGGAGAAACAAGGTTCACCTGTTGTCCTCTCCTCCTGTTACTCAGGCTGCTTCAAGGTTTTGCCATCCAAGGGTTTGCTTTCCTTTAAGCATCAGACAAAGAGCAAGACATAGAGGGGATGGATAAGGCATGAGGGTATTTGTTGATATCACCCAGTGTCACTGAGTACCTGCTGGGTTCCATGAGTTGAATTAAATCAAGACTGTGGGTCAGAATTGATTCAGACAGTGTTTGAGACATGCTGTGTGCTCCAGCTGAGCTCAGGGTGTTAGAGTAGGGAGGTGGGGGCATTTATGGGGCACTGGGATCAGGGAAGGGGAAGGAGTATCTGGGATGGGTCTCCTGGACAAGGTGACACAAAGGGATCAAAGCTACCTGGAGACTTCACCTCCAGAAGTGGACATTTGGGGAGCATGAACCTTGGAAGAGGCCAAGCATAAGGTGAGAACTCTGCATCAGAGGTCCCACCTTATGCTTTCCTTATCCCTTATTGCATACAGTGAAGCCCGAGGCCTGGCTGTCCAGTGGCCCCAGTCCTGGACCTGGCCATCTGCTGCTGGTGTGCCACGTGTCTGGATTCTACCCAAAGCCCGTGTGGGTGACGTGGATGCGAGGGGAACAGGAGCAGCAGGGCACTCAGAGAGGTGACATCCTGCCCAATGGTGATGACACGTGGTATCTCAGAGCAACCCTGGATGTGGCAGCTGGGGAGGCGGCTGGCCTGGCCTGCAGGGTGAAGCACAGCAGCCTAGGAGGGCAGGACCTCGTCCTCTACTGGGGTGAGAAAGGGCTGGGKCTGTSYTGGAAATGGAGGCAGGTGGTTCTCMAGCATAKAGGGAGCGACTGTGAAGGATGGAGTTGGCACACCAACTAGGAGGGCTAGAAGGATGGATTCCAGACACAGTAAAGAGGAAAATAGGACTGAGATCTGATGTATTAATACAAGATGAAATGGGACTCATAATCTTAGAGATCTGGAAGTTGTTGGCAATGAATGAATCCCTGGAAGTTGCGCATGACAGCACTTATCTCTATTCCCAGCTGCTGGGGAGGCTGATGCAGGAGAATTCCAAGTAGGTGGCCAGCCTAGCCAAATTAGGGAGACCTTGTCTCAAAATAAAAGAAAAGGGCTTGGGATACAGCTCAGTGGTTTTCCCCAGACTCTAGGGTTCAAAAATCGGTACTGCATAAAAACTGAAAACAGGATCCTGGGAAGATTCATTTCCCAGCAGAATGGGGATCAGGGACTTACGAAAAGCAGGTTAACAAGGAGACTGTGGTTTACTGAGTGCTTCCTGCGTGGGGGCGTGACCACTCTGCATCCAGTGCTTTACCTGAGCATCAGCACTCCCTTTTGAAGCAGTTACTGTTATTCTATTTTACAAATGAGGAAATTGAGGCTGAGATAGGTTAAGTACCCAGAGTCTCATAGAAGGTGGAAGAGCTGGATATCGATTCAGGTCTGCCTTGTCTACACAGCTTCACCTGTATGCTACGTTATTATATAGTGAAATGAACTGTAGTGGATGTGCCTAGACCCTGTGAAAAGGTGGGGAGTCTAAACTTCTGAGGAATAGAAGTTGATGCTCTAAATGGGGGGAGGGAAAAGGCAGCACCTGGCCCCTCACATGTGCTAGACCAGGGAACTTGATACAGGGTCCTGTGTCCCCTGCAGGTGGGAGCCACACCTCTGTGGGCTTGGTCATCCTGGTGGTACTGGCTTGCCTGGTGCTAGTCTTTGTGCTCATTCTAGGCTTCTATTGGATCAGGAGACACCGGTGAGTCTCCCCCTCCATCTGCTCCTTCCCTTGCTCTCTCTCCTCCCTCCCCTGTTCTTGTTTTCTGAATGGTGTCTCCCTTTCTCTTCCCTCACAGCTCCTATGAAGACATCTTGTGAGTCTTCTGGTCACCTGCCTGTCTGGAGCCCAAGACCTCAGGTCCCCAGAACCTGCTTAGGAATGGAGGATGAATGGAGAGTTAACCTGGAGAAGTAAAAAAGAAAAGGGTCATCCACATCCTTTTAATGTTTATCTAAAGAGTTCGAGTCCTTTCCCTTGTATGACAAGTTTTTAAGCCCAAGTGATTCTGTGCAAAGAGGAGCGCCAACTCCTCTGATGACCTGCTGGCAATGAGCAGGTAAACACTGGGGTAGCAGTGCCCTGGTTGGCCATGGAGTGACAGGGTCTGTCCTGAGCTGGAAAAACATGTCCTTTGCAAAGGTGGTAGCTGCAGTGGCCAGCTGTCAAGTGCCCAATCAAACTGGCTTGATTGCAGCCTATGTTTCTCCCGAAAACTGGAAATCTAGAATTTTACGTGACAGGTGATTTAAAAAGATAACTTGTCTTTGGACAAAATATTMTTTGTGATAAATAAACATTGCTGACTGGTCTCATCTTGGGTGCACCCAGATCATGTCTCTTTTCCCTTCTTCAAGATCCATTTTCAACACCCTTTCACCACAAAGACTTTTCTGAGCGATGAAGAACTGATGTATTTCTCCCCTGAGCACCCCCGTTATAAAATATTATCAGTGTTTCTCAACCCTTTTTGGAATAAAATAAATTTAAAGTATAATTTGCGTACAAGAAGACACTCCTAGTTATAGTTCAACGAATTTTACTAATATCTACACCCATGTAACTACTCTCCCATCTTCTCAGAGCTCACACAAACTTTTTAGTTCCCCAAAGTCTCTCATGTCTCCTTGTTAATTCCAGCATTAGTCAGCATTGATCTATTTTCTTCCTCTTTTTGTTTTACCAGTCTGAGAATTTTATATAAATGGAATGGAATGTTTCTGTTCTTCACTTGACACAATGTGTTTGAGACTCATTCACGTTCCATTCATCACTAGTTCATTTCTTTTAGTTTTTGTGGAGCATTTCCTTACATGGGAATACATACTAATATTTATGGATTAAGCTAGTCACAAAAATTTGGTGATTTATTATCCTGGGCTCTCAGGAATGAAGCTGCTGTGAACATTTATGCCCTGTCTTTTTGTGCATTCGCTTTTATTTGAGTAAATCCCAAGGAGTGGAACTACTCAATGGTGTATGTCTTTTTTTTAAAATCTATTGGTTATTTAAAAGTATATTATGGCCAGGTGCAGTGCTACACGCCTGTAATTCCAGACGCTCTGGAGGCTGAGACAGGAGGATCACAAATTCAAAGCCAGCCTCAGCAACAGTGAGGCAGTAAGCAACTCAATGAGACCCTGTCTCCAAATAAAATACAAAATAGGGCTGGGTATGTGACTCAGTAGTTGAGTGCCCCTGAGTTCAATCCCCAGTACCTTGCCCTGCCCAATAATACTACATTACGTAATTATCAAATGTTTGCTAGTTTTGCGTGGGTGTTTTAGTTATTGGAATTGAGTTTAATTCCCAAAATAGATTTTGTGTGATTTCAATCTTTTGAAATCTGCTGAGAGTTGTTTGGTGTATGCAGTCTATCTGTGAAAGTATTCCATGTGTATTTGAAAATAAAGTGTTCTGCTGTTGGGTGAACTGCCTTATAAATGTCCATGAGGTTGCTCTTCAAATCTTCTATATCCTTACTGGTTTTCTGCTTACTTGCTCTATTACTTACTGAGATAGGAGAGTTGAAATCTCCAACTATATTTGTGGATGTCAATGTTTTCCTTTTCATTTCTAACTTTTTGTTCTATTTGCTCCAGGTTTTTTGAAGTTCTATTATTATGTGCATATATAAGATTACATATAAATCTCCTGAATTCTACTCTGACATTAAAATAGTCACCCTTGTTTTCTCTTTTCAGGTTTTGCTAAGTATATCTTTTACCAGCGTCGACTCTGAACTTTAGTTTGATTTATTCATTTATTTATTGATTATTTCTTTCTAGATATACATGAGAGTATAGTGTATTTTGACATATTATACATACATAGAATAAGTATAACTTTTTCCAATTAGGATCCCTTTATTGTGGTTGTACATGATGTGGAGTTACATAGGTCATTTATTCATATATGAAGGTAGGAAAGTTATGTCCAGTTTATTCTACTGCTGTCTTTGTTCTTAAAGTGTGTTTTACATAGACTGAAGATAGTTAGATTTTACTTTTTTATTACAATCTATGACTTCTTAATGAATGTTTTGACCATTTGCATGTAATATAGTATATGAATACACTATATTAATGCATGTAATGTACTATATATAATTTGATGTATTATGACAATATAATATGGGGTATGGCTTTAGTCTACTGTCTTGCCATTAGTTTCTTATAGGTCCCACTTTTCTTGTTCCTTTTTAGCACTTTATTGACAACCAAGAGTAGCTTCTTAGTTATGTTTCTATAAGTACATCAGTGCTCCAGCATTCACTATAATTTTTTTGTATCATAGACTAGTTTTAAATAACATTATATCACATAATAGATATTTAAGAACTGTGCAGTTGTATAGTTCCATTTTTCCCCTCTCAACCTTTGTGTATGAGTAACATACATTTTAATTTTATGTATGAAATTAATTTACAATAATTGGTCACTGTTTTTTAAAAAATATATTTATTTATTCTAGTTTGTTATACATGACAGCAGAATGCATTTCACTTCATGGTACACATGTAGAGCACAATTTTTCATGTCTCTGGTTGTACACAAAGTAGAGTCACACCATTCATGACTTTACACATATACTTAGGGTAATGATGTCTACATTCCACCATCTTTCCTACTCCCATGTCCACTACCTTCCCTTCCCTCCCCTTCGACCTATCTAAAGTTCCTCCATTCCTTCCATGCTTCCTGCCATTATGGATCAGCATCCACATATCAAAGAAAACATCCAGCCTTTGGTTTTTTGGGATTGGCTTACTTCACTTAGCATGATATTCTCCCACTCCATCAATTTACCTGCATATGCCGTGATTTTATTCTCTTTTAATGCTGAGTAATATTCCATTGTGTATATATACCACAGTTTCTTTATCCATTCATCTATTGAAGAGCATCTAGGTTAATTCCACAGTTTAGCTATTGTGAATTGTGCTGCTATAAACATTGATGTGGCTGTATCATTGTATTATCCTTTGGGTAAAAACCAAGGAGTGGGACAGCTGGGTCAAATGGTGGCTTCATTCCAAATTTTTGAAGGATTCTCTATACTGCTTTCCAGATTGGCTGCACCAATTTGCAGTCCCACCAGCAATGTAAAAGCGTTCCTTTTCCCCCCACATCCTTGCCAACACTTATTGCTGTTTGTATTCTTAATAGTTTCCATTCTGACTGGAATGAGATGAAATCATAGAGTAGTTTTGATTTGCATTTCTCTAATTGCTAGGGATGCTGAACATTTTTTCATATATTTGTTGACTGTATATCATCTTCTGAGAAGTGTCTGTTCATTTCTTTAGCCCATTTATTAATTGGGTTACTTGTTTTTTTTTTGGTGTTAAGTTTTTTGAGTTCTGTATATATCCTAATGATTAGTGTTCTATCTAATGTGTGTGTGGTAAAAATTTGCTCCCATTATGTAGTCTCTCTTTGCCTTACTGTTTCTTTTAATAAGAAGAAGCTTTTCAGTTTGAATCCATCACATTTATTGATTCTTGATTTTATTTCTTGTACTATAGGAGTCTTGTTGAAGTCAGGGCCTAATTCGACATGATGGAGATTTGGGMCTACTTTTTCTTCTAGTAGGCACAGGGTCTCTGGTTTAATTCCTAGGTCCTTGATGCACTTTGAGTTGAATTTTGTAAAATTTCATTTTGYTGCATATGGATTTCCAGTTTTCCCAGCACCATTGGGTGAAGAAGCTATCTTCAATATGTTTTTGGCACCTTTGTCTAGTATAACTATTTATATCAGTTTGCCTCTGTGTCCTCTATTCTGTGCCACTGGTCTACAAGTCTATTTTGGTGCCAATACCATGCTGTTTTTGTTACTATAGCTCTGTAGTATAGTTTAAGATCTGGTACAGTGATGCCACCTGCTTCACTCTTCCTGCTAAGGATTGCTTTGTCTATTCTGGGTCTCTTATTTTTCCAGATGAATTTCATGATGAGTTTTATATTTCTATGATAGATGTTATTGGAATTTTGATTGGAATTGCTTTACATCTTTAGGTAGTATGGTCATTTTGACAATATGAATCTGCCTATTCAAAAACTAGGGAGATATTTCCATCTTCTAAGGTCTTCTTTAATTTCTTTCTTTAGTGTTCTGCAGTTTTCATTGTAGAGGTCTTTCACCTATTTCATTAAGTTGATTCTCCAGTATTTTATTTCTGTTGAGGCTATTGTAAATGGGGTAGTTTTCCTCATTTATCTTTCAGAGGATTTGTCACTGATATACAGAAATGCTTTTGGTTTATGGGTATTGATTTTGTATCCTGTTACTTTGCTGAATTCATTTATTAGTTCTAGAAGTTTTCTGGTGGAATTTTTGGGATCCCCTAATTATAGAATTATGTTGTCATCAAATAGTGATAGTTTGAGTTCTTCTTTTTCTATTTGTGTCCCTTTATTTTCTTTCATCCATTGTTGGGGGCTGCTGTGGAAATACACACCCTTAAGTCCTGAGCAAGAGAACTGAACAATGATTGCACCCAGCAATAACTTGGGCTTTTTCTCCACTAGGATAATGAGGCTGGGCTCCAGGAGTTGGCTTCACCTGGTGGGGTTGAGCTCCACTCACCTGTTCCTTTGTAATTCTATCCCTTTGCCCTTTTTGGGATAGAATGTTCCAAGGAACCTCTCCTTGTGTGTCCCCTATATAAGAATAAAGAATTCCAGTGGCTCTCTCTCTTTTTTTTTTTTTTCCATGGACCCCTAAGGTTGGAGAGCCATCCAGGATTTTGAAAAGGTACTTCTCTGTGTTTTCATGGTTTCTTTGCTGTTTTCTTAAGTTATTGGAATAGTCAGATTTGTGAACTGAGCATTAGGTCACCAGCTGGGACAGATGGCGATAAACGGAGGCCTCTCTGGGATGTTTAAGGTAGTTGATAAAATG